CGCATGGTGTGCATGGAACTCTTACTCAGAAGATGATTCCATGATAAGGTCAGAATTCGAAAAAGGAGAAGTCTACCTAGAGAAAAGGCAGGCGGACGCGGACTCTTCAAGGGTGTGGGACGATGCGGGCTTCGCGGCGAAGGGTATGGCGACCGTTGAGACATAAAAATGGCAGATAAAACCACTTGTCGATAGTGTTTTTTTTTCATAAAGGTTCAGAACCCTGAAGACAGTGTTTCAGTTATATGCTGTTGCCCGTCTGATAATCAATAAGTTTTCTTTCGCATCATGACAAATCACTACATTAGAAAGGACCACATCTGATGTAAACTTCAAAAATAAGAAAAAGGTTTTACGCTCCACATATGGGCTATAAATAGAATCATTTACCAGTAATCATAGCAAAATCAACAATGAAATTCCAACAAGCCCTGTTCCGTGATATGCGGCAGAATCAGCATTCAGATACATCTTCAGGATGGTAGTAATCTCCAATCAGTCTAAACAGGCAATACTAAACTCAAGGAAGAACTTGGTAAATTCTCAGTTTCAAACGAACGTTACTGTAAAGATCAAAGAAAACCCATAAATAATCCGAAGGTCGTACCTGTAGACGTGCGACGGTAATATACATGCTGTATTAGAAACATAAAGCGTAACAAGTGAAGCCGGGATATGGTCGAATGTTGGTCGAGGAACTTCCACTAGACCGCGAAACGAGACGGAATGCTTGAAGGAAACTCCAGGAGCCTTGTTCGGATTCACCATCATGGGATCCGGTACAAAGAATGGAGTAATCTGAACACACACATATTATATGTTGAGAAAATGCCTTCTCTTTTTTTCCAGGACGTTAATCTGTAAAAACAACAACTGCAAAGAATCGAGCTTTAATAGTAGGGTAAATGATGGCACCATGCACTCTTATGATGAACATTATACGGAGGCAACACTATGAAAATTCCAAGCTTTGGGAATTAGGAATACTAAATACTAAAAGCAATTGAGTTTGTACACCTTGAAGGACTGTAATATGCAGCAGAGGATACCAAGGAGGACTTGTTTTCTTGAGATGAGAAATCAAGGATATTTCAAACGTTTCAACACAAAAAAGTGTGTTGGTGAACAAAGTAAAATTGAGAAAAAATTAGCCATGAGACGCATTTCAAAGCTCGCATTGGATTTTGCATAATAGCCTCCCTCAGAGACAATGGAGCAAAGAAGGATGAGAACGAAAAGAGAATAGGAACGCAGAATTACGTGAGCAAAATTTGAAGACCTACTCTAAAGATAGAAATGTAATCGTTATCAGTGAGAAAACAGATCAAGAAAAACCAGAAACCGTTCCATCAGCATCACTTAAAACTAATTGAAATAAAAACAATGACTAAGAAGAAGCAAACAAACCTTATAAAATGCAGCTAGCACATATACTGGGACAGAATG